CTTGATTGTGATGGTTATCCCGCTGATGCCGAGTTAACGCCTGTTCACAGAGACACACAAACGGGCGTCCCCCCCAACTCTCCCTGTTTCTCGGCTCCTGTATTGGCCTTCAAAGTAAGCTGGGAAATTAGAAGGTACTAGAAAGACACTGGGATTAAGAGGCCCCTCAGGGCCCCTCACCTGCCCAGGCCTGACAGCAGCTTCAGGGTAGGAAACAGGAGCCTGGCATTGTCACAGCTGGTGATGGAGGCACCTGAATCCGCAGAGCAACAGCTGATGCATGAGCTTCGAGCAATCTAGGGTGGCCCGCAGAGGGCCTTGAATGTGCACATTTGTGGGGCCAGTGAACTTGATCTCAAGAGGCCTAGTTTGAAGCCTGTGACCACTCGCGCCCTCGCCACTCACGCTGTCTGTACGTCTAGCTCCTCAGGAATGGCTGCACCTTCGTTCTTCCACAGCACTTCCCAGAGACCTTGCAAGGGCCCTCTCTCAGGGGCGCTCTCTCAGGGGCCCTCTCTCAGGGGCGCTCTCTCAGGGGCCCTCTCTCAGGGGCCCTCTCTCAGGGGCCCTCTCTCAGGGGCCCTCTCTCAGGGGCCCTCTCTCAGGGGCCCTCTCTCAGGGGCGCTCTCTCAGGGGCCCTCTCTCAGGGGCCCTCTCTCAGGGGCACTCCGACTCCAAGGGACTCTGTGTCATGACGGGGGACACATGTGGCTGGCACAATTAGTGGAATTCCTAGCACTCAGAGGATGAAGTATGCCCTCAAATCAAAGGCCTTGTCCCTAATGGCCTTAGAGCTGAGGCTGAGCGATGTGAACTGATGCAGAGGCTTCAGGCAACAGCAGCGCATGTGCATTACCAAATGGGGCAAGCCTGCACTCGCCATCACTGTGTGCTAGCCTCGGAATTCTCACCACTCCCTAAGCGATCTGAGTATGCCATGGTCAGGGTGGACCCATCTAAAAGGCCCCAGTGAGGGGCTGGGGGCGTGGTCAGGGTGGAGCCCCGCCTAGAATCCCCCAGTGAGGGACTGGGGGCGTGGTCAGGGTGGAGCCCTGTCCAGAATCCCCCAGTGAGGAGGCTGGGGGCGTGGCTTACTGATAAAAGCTTTTCTGTGATGTGCACCGGTTTAGTTTCCATCCCCGGGTCTGTAAAAATAAAAAGAATTAAAAATCTCTTAGCGTAGGGCAGTGGTGATACACGCCTTTAATTCCAGCACTTGAGAGGCAGAGGCAGGTGGATCTCTGTGAGTTCGAGGCCTGCCTGGTCTACTACGTGAGCTCCAGGACAGGCACCAAAGCTACACAGAGAAATCCTGTCTCGAAAAAGAAAAAAAAAAAAATTTCAGCATACTCTTACTCCCATTGCTTGGGAGGTAGAGACAGATCTCTGTGAGTTCGAGGCCAACCAGACCTACACTGTGAGATACTGACTCAAAATATCAAACCTCCTTTCCCACTCTGAACAGCAGAAAAAGAAACACCAGTCCCCATTGAGGGCCTAGCTGAGAAAACATTAGTGTCAAAGTCACCACTGGCCTCTCTCCATCCTTCAGAGAAACACTCTCTCAATCGTCTCCTTTGCCTAGCGAGCTGAAGAGTTACAGCCTTTGGGGCTAGGGGGATAGGACTTGGGGATGAAGGGTCTGAGACCATCAGGAGGGCATCCCTGTTGGCCTCCAGTGGTAGGATAGCCTGAGTGTGGTCCTGGGTGGCATGGGGCGTCTCCAGAGCCAGTCCACCCATTAATCTCCCCTGCCAGGCAGGTCAGGTTTCAGGTGGGGCCCAGGCAGATGTTGGGCAGAGCAGTTCTATTTTCCTTAATCCCTGGGGCCACAGGAACTGTCCTTTCGAGAGGGAACAACAGGCCGGTTAAGGCCACCATCTGTGCAGACCTGTGTTTAAACGTGCCTGGGCTTAGGGGGAGGGCAGAGGTCACCATAGCAACCTGAGTAAGGGGCTGGGGGCGCGTGGGTGTTCACATGTCAGGCAGGGCATGCAGATGAACACAGCCAGACACAATGCTTCTAGATCTTTCTTCTTCTTCTTCTTCTTCTTCTTCTTCTTCTTCTTCTTCTTCTTCTTCTTCTTCTTCTTCAATATATCTTGTTACCTTTTGGCATTTGGAGAAAAAAAATTAGTTATTTTTTTTAATCTATTCGATTTTGAGTAGCCCAAGCTGACCTCAAATTCAATGTGGAGCCAAGGCTAACCTCAAATCCAGAGCCTCTTGCTACCAGAGTGAACTACCCAACAGGTCGCAAACACACCTTCTATTTGCTTCCAGCCCCACGTCCCCCCCCCCTTTTTTTTAATAGATGGTCTCTAAAGATCTTTACTCCTGGGTCGTTTCAAGCTTCCAAAAATCCTCCTGCCTCAGCTTCCAGAGTGTGAGGATGACAGGCGTCAGAGAGTATACCAGTTTTAGCTAGTGCTCACAACTTCAGTGTCTTGTGGGTGTGGGTGGGTGATTATTAAAAACCTTCACTGCTGTGTCTGCCCACACCCATACCTCTCACGACACGAGGTACACTGCAAACCTGGGGTCTCCCAGAGGGAGAAAGTGGAACCATGGGCCCTTACTTTAAGCACAGTTTCCCAGGACATAGGAGCAGAGCCTGCATCAGAAAGGGGGACAGAACTGTGAGGGAACTGAGGCCGCCCATACCTGCCATCCCAGCATTTGGAAAGCAGAGGCAGAAGGATTTCAAACATGAGACTAATCCGGGCTACAGAGCAGAGGCCCTGTATCAAAGAGTTAAAACACAGTGCTGGGAGGAGCAAATGTGAAGGACTGAGCTTTCCCCTAGCACCCATCAGAAGCCAGGCGTGGCTGTACATGCTGCAGTTCCTGCGCAGAAGCAGAGCTAGACCTTGCTGGCCACACAGCCTAGTGGCAGCCAGCAGGCTCAGCTTCAGTGAGAGACCCTCCTGTCTCAAGACATAATATGGAGAGTGGTCTAGGAGAACACAGATGTGAGCCTCCAGACTCCACTCCCTATGTGTGTGTGTAATCCTTGGTACACACACATGCACACATACACAAATAATAAATGAAAATAATTTAAAAATAATTAAACATGCCCTGTCTCAAAAAACCAAAAATAATAATAATAATAATTAAACACTTGGGAGGCAGAGACAAATGGATCTCCAAGTTTGAGGTCAGCCTGGTCTACAGAATGAGTTCCAGGACAGCCAGGACTACACAGAGAAACCCTGTCTCAAAAGAAAAGAAAAGAAAAAAAATATAAAGAAAGGGAGTGGAAATAGCGCCCATGCTGCAGAAGCACATGTGTGGATATTTATGTATGTTTCCTTCATGATGACCAAACAAGGTAGTAGTCCGAACTCAAAGTCCTTGAACCAGGAAACACCTGATGGACAAAGTCCACCCACAGAATGACTGTGTCTTGATACTGAAAGAAGTGAGGTTAGTCAAGAGGGCGGAGGATGCCTGCTGCCTGACGACCTGGTTCCATCCCTGGGACCCACCTGGTAGGAGGGACCCGACTCCTGCAAGTTGTCCTGAGCTCTAGGTGTGCAGCACAGCGTGTGTGTGTGTGTGCGCGCGCGCGCGCGCGCGCGCATGTGTGCGTGCATACACAAGCAAGGGCACCTTTTCTCTATTTATCTGTTCGTATGTGCTGGGACGGAACACACAGCTTCACAAATGTGAGAAAAGGAATCCACCAAAGAACCCTCCCTCAGGCCAGAAAGAATTCTCCAAAGGTTTAGGATAACATTTTAAAGTGTGGATCCCTGAGCTGGAGAGATGGCTCAGCGGTTAAGAGCACTGGCTGCTCTTCAAGAGGACCCAGGTTCAATTCCCAGCACTCACATGGCAGTTCACACCTGTCTGTTACTCCTGTTCCAAGGAATATGACTCCCTCACATAGACATGCAGGCAGAATACCAATATATATAAAATAAACAAAAATTTAAAAGCCACAGGAAAAAAATAACCCCAGGAAGCACAAGCTGGCTGCTGACTTGCGTGCACGTGCTTAAATAAACAAATATATAATTTGAGAGAGATGACTTAGTACTTTGGGAGATTTCAAGATTAACCCAGAGAGGGATGAGAGGAGAGAAAGATGGAGCCATATAAGCTTACACAAGAGACCACTAGAAGGGAAAGGCACAGGGACAACTGACCAGCTTAGACCTTGCACCTGACTCTCCAGGTTCTCATCCCTGCTCCCACAGCTGCTCACTATACTGGTCTGTAGAATGGGCTGGGACTGTCAGCTCTGCAGCCTTGGGGAGCTGGTAGGATACGTACTGTGAATCATCCCCAATTTGTCAGTATGGAGGTACAAATGAGGCCATGTAAAGGATGGTGGGTGTGGTGCCACACACCTGTCATCCCAGTGCTGAGAAGGCTGAGGCAGGAAGATCAGGAGTTCAAAGCCAGCCTGGGCTACATAGTGAGATGTTGTGTCACAGGGGGAGGCTGGGGCTGGGGCTCAGGAGTGGAGCACTCGCCTAGTAATCAGGAAGCACTAAGTTCCAGCCTTAGCACCTCAGATGCTTGATGGGAGCCTGACGCAGAAGAATCGTAAGTTTGAGGTCAGCTTGGGCTACAGATCAGGACCCTGATTCAAAGCAAAACAGAAGTCGACAAGTTCCGGGATTGAGCCCCGCCTCTGCCATAAGCATCCGTGAGCCTCGTTTTCCCAAAAATCTCAGTTTCCCTGTGTAGAACTGGACTTTATGTGACACATACCGGAAGATCCCTAATGCTGCTGGACGCTCAGTGATCGGGGTGGGTGTGATTCTCACATGGAGACTTCATGAGCCCAGTGATTGTACCCCATCCCCATCTGGAAACCATATATATATATACACATACACATTTTTTTGGACAGATTCCAGACTTTTATTCTGAAGCCGAGGCCCCAACCTATGAGGTAATCCTTGGAGCTTCATTCGAGGATTATTCCTATTGGTCCACTGGCCAAGCCCCGCCCAGGGTTCCCTGCGCTCCGCCTTCCTCTCAAGCGCATAAAAGTATAACATCCGGACCTGGGCAGCCACCAGGAAACCTGCAGATGCTGCTGAACAGGAGCAGGTGAGGCATGAAGGGAGAAGAAATAGGTGCTGGGGGAGGGGAGGAGGACCTTGGGGATAATGCAGGTTGGCTCATCTTCCAGACGGCCAACTGGACTATCTGGGAAGGAGAGAGGAGCCGGGGCTGTCTCCCTGGGAGGTGGGAGCAGGTAAGATCCTGGCGCCTTCGGTCCTCCTCCTGGAACTCCCTGGGACGATGGGAAGGGATCAAAACCGAAGATGGGACCCTGCAAGGCAGGACAGACTCAAGCCGCGGGCATCCGGGCAGAAGGCGGATGCTGGGAGCCTGTTCTTGCGCCCACCCAACCGGAGGAATGGCTAATTGTTTCAGCACCGGGGCCGCGGACAGCGCTAGCCGGGTGGGGGACAGGGAGGGCGCTCAGATTCAGCACCCACAGCCCGAACAGCTCCCAGCGGGCCTCCAAGGAGACTTGGTTTTAACACTTGGCCTCTCACAGCACCAAAGCTCACAGTACTCAGCCTCAGAGACAGCCTTGGGGTCTGTTCTGGTGGAGCGTGTGCAGGGAAGAGGGTGGTCTGAGACCTCAAACAGTTTGAGACACTTGTCCTTTACAAAGGGGATTTTTTTTTTTTTTGAGACAGGGTCTCTCTACATAGCCCCAGCTGTCCTGGAACTCACTATGTAGACCAGGCTGGCCTCAAACTGGCCTCAAACTCAGAGTATGGGAGAGACATTCTGTCAATGGAATAAGTGCCAATGGGTGAACTGATGTCCCAAGTGAAGCGGTGAGGGGCAATCTAACTTTGTATCTCATGTTCTTTTTATTTTATAAAAGGGTCTCTCTCTCTCATATATATATATTATCCTGTAGCCCAGGCTGACTTAGAACTCTATGTGAAGCCAAGAATGATCTTGAAATCCTCATCCTCCTGCCTCCAATTCTTGCGTGCTGGGGTAACAAGTGTGTGCCGCTCACACCTAGATCAATAAATCCCACATTGCTGATGCAGCAGGATGTGGGTTGGGTGGTTAGAGAACAGATCTCTCTTGTGTCGGGGACGGAATGGGAAAGGGAGGCTTAGACATGGTAAGTCAATGTGGCCTGTTCCTCTCCACGCAGGACCAGCACAGGACAAGGACCAGGGGCTGAGCACGTGAGCCAGTGCTATATGGAAGACTTGTGATTTTGTTGTTCTGATGTGGTATGACAACAAGTCACAGCCGGCCTCATAGCGTGGACTCCCTTCACCTTTCTCCTGAAACACAGGAAGCAGTTGGGGCAGGAAATTGGGGCAGGAAGGGGAGAGGGGGGAGGGGGGCATTGGCGGGGGAGGGTGTCTGGCAAGGTCGCAGGTCCTGAGAGTGCAGCGACGTCTCACACATATTATTGGCCTGTCATTCAAACACTTCTACAGGACAGAATGGGAGACACAACCTCAGGCCCTGAGCCACCTCACGATGCTTTTTTTTTTTTTTTTTTTTTGGAGAATCAAATAGGAAATGGTGGGCTGGTGGTGAAGGGGCTGCCGAGAACCTGGGAACCCGAGTCTGGTTCCCAGGACGACGTGGGAGAAGGACAGAAACAACCCCTGCAGGTTGCCCTCTGGCTACCACACATGTACTGTGACACACACACTCTCACACACAAAGAAACACATGTAAAACTTTTAAAAGAGGGATGGGCATAGGAGGTGCTTCTAAAGCACCCTGAAGTTACTTTTTCTTTCTTGTCTTCCTTTCTTCCTTCCTCCCACTTGGTCTGTCTGTTTGCCCAGGCTTTCCTCTAACTCTGAATATAGCCAAGGATAGCCTTGACCACTGGGCCCTCTTGCCTCCACTCCCTGAGTGGTGTCCACACTATGACCAGTGTACGTGGTGCTGGACCTGGAGTTTCAAGCACACTGCCTGGACACTGTACCCACAGAGTCCCAACCCAGACCCAATGGGTCTTTTTCAATAAAACTTCTGTGTCCCCCACACACCAACCACTAGTTGCATGACTGAGCCCGGGAAAATGTGGACTTGTGTTTGGCGGGTCATGGCACCCTTAACATTCATCAAGCATCACCTGTGACATCCAAATGCAGTCACTAACCCCCACCCCAGTGGGATTCTCCCCAGATTCCTGGTGCTGTGACATGGGACGAAAGGGGTTTATTTGGCTCACAGTGATGTTCACACTCCACCACTGAGGGAAATCAGGGCAGGAACCTGGAGGCAGGAGCTGATGCAGAGGCCATGGAGGGGGCTGCTTACTGGCTTGATCCCCATGGCCTGCTCAGCCTGCTTTCTTATAGAACCCAGAACCAAGCAGCCCAGGGATGGGACCACCCCAAACCCCCACTAGAAGATATCAGTTAGGGTGCCACACCTGACCACACCCCCAGCCCCTCACTGGGGGATTCTAGGCGGGGCTCCACCCTGACCACGCCCCCAGCCCCTCAATAGGGGACTTTAGGTGGGGCTTAACCCTGACCACGCCCCCAGCCCCTCACTGGGGGATTCTAGGTGAGAGCTCAACCCATGACCCAAACCAAGGCATGGAGATAAAAGACCAGGAAGGATTTCAGGTGAGAAGTGTAGATTCTAGGCAGGGGCTCAATTGATGAGTCCCACTTTTAGCTTTTATTTATTTTGTAATTTTTTTGAAACAGGATCTCACTATGTAGACTAAGCTGGCCTGGAATTCAGAAGCCCACCTGCCTCTGCCTTGCCTTATTTTTATTTCTTGACAACATCATGCTCTTCTGCCCTGAATGGCCTTGAACTCAGGCTCTTCCTGTTTCTATTTCCCCTAATCTAGGGTGATGGCCTGTGATGCCCGGCATGCTACTGTGTTTCCCCGGTGCCCACCCAACACATGGTATTCAACCGGTGCTCAATAAATGTGTGTTGAACCCACAGAGGCATCAAGGAATACAGCCACACAGCAATCAGTAAACAAAATCCATATGTTTACCGCACACACATTGCAATTCCTGTCTGGGCTCGAAGAGGGAGCAGCTGTTAGGGACAGCAATGGCAGGTGTCTCCCGGGGAAATATAATTAAATTTCTGGATACTCAGGGGCTGGCCAATGAAAGAACAGCCCCAGGAGAGAGCCGGTCTCCGTTCATTAGCACTTAGGAGACACTGATTCCTAATTAGCTGGGGCAGGCCCTGTCTCCCTCCTTCACCCCAGAAGAACGAAATCTTCTCTCTCCTGGGAGTCCTGCCTCAGTGGGCCCATTAACAAGCTGAGAGAATAAGATTAAATGATGCCTAAATGCCAGAGGTCTTATGGATGGGGGCATCCAGGGAGGCCTTTGATGTCTGGGTTAAGTTGCACAGCAGAAGCGCTCTCTCGCTCTCTCTCTCTCTCTCTCTCTCTCTCTCTCTCTCTCTCTCTCTCTC